GTCGAGCGGCTGCGGAAGCAGTTCCCGGACGCGCCGCTCCTCGCGTCCGCGGCGTCCTACGACGCGGAGACGCCGCCGCTCGAGGCGCTGGCGGCGGCGGAGGTCGCGCGCCACGGCCTGAGCGACGCGGGCGCGGACGTGGTCGTCGGCTGCGAGGTCGAGCCGCAGCTGCGGCTGGCCGCCGCGTTCCTCGCTGTGTGGAAACCAACCACTGGTTTGGGGGGTCCCCACCAAACTTCAGAACTCTCTATCTCGGTCAAATCGACGTCGATTCGGCTGATTTTCGGACGAATCGATTGCTCTCATCGAGTTCTCGAAGCACAGCGGAAGAGATTGCGTCGAAACTGTCGCATACGCTCACATTGGAGTCGGGTTGAATATTTGAATTCCACACAGGTTCCTCGAAAAGCGCACGGACCTGGCCCACGGCGACGTCTCCCGGGCCCTCGAGACCGTGCGCGCGCGCATCGAGGAGCGGAGCGCCGCGCTCCGCCGCGTCGCCGGCGTAGCGCGGACGACCGTGTCCGGCGGCGGCTTCGACCTGGACGCGGACGCGTCCCGCGGCGTCGTCGCGGGCGCGCGGTCGCGCGCGGCCCGCGACCTCGACATCTTCTACTCCGGCGGCGACGACGGCGCGGGGGAGGCATCAGCTTAATAAAACTCGCTTCGACCCTTTACGAGCACATCGCTAGCCCTGCCACCCGCTCGAGTGGATGATCGCGTAGCCCTCGGGGACGGGCTCCGTCTTCCCCGCGCCGCTCCACTCGCGGCCCGGGAACAGACCGAAGTCAATGTCCTTGTCCTGCAAGAGTCGAAGCGGATTTCCGTAGCGCGGGTCGCGGAAATGGTCGCAATGAACTATGAGAGTACCGTTGTCAATAACGATGAAGAACTCCGGAGAGCGCCCTCTACTCGGATCATAGTTGCCAATTTGTGAAGGGAAATGAAACACGTCCTCGTCCAGAACCATGCGAGATCCCTCTCCGTTCACGATGAAACCCGAACCGTGGAACTCGGTGTAATCGTCGCCGACCTCAGTGTCGTAAACCTCGATGTTCGCGCCGTGCACCACGCAACAAGCGTAGTGGTTATCCCCCGACATGCGACAACGAGAAAGAATGATTGAAGAGCGGTCACCGTCGGCCTTCACGCCGAACCATCCGCGAGATATGAACGAGTCCGAGACGTGCACGCGCGCACCACCCTTCGCGAGCACAGACGCGTGGCCGCAGTTCGTCAAGCTGCAATTATCGATCTTGACGCACGCCCCGGAGCGCACCTCGACTGCTGTATCATACAAGTCCGATTCGAACTCTTCATCGGAGTCGTCGTCGTCCTCATCGATCCACGGAGGCTCGTAGTCGAAATCGCGAGAGCCGCCGTAGATCGATAGGTCGCGGAGCGTCACCTTCGTCTCGCTCCCCTCGGCGAGCAGAGCTGGTTCGTCAGCGACGGCGCTATAAATCGAACAAGCCCGCCAATGTGAGATCGCCGCGGAATGGCCATTGGTGACGTGAACGAGGCGATGATAGGGCACGGAACGTAATTCGCGACCAAACGGCAGCCGCGGCCGCCGCGCTCCCACGATCGTGAGACGGATGTTGGGCAGGCGGATCGTATCTCGGATCAGGGTCACGTCCTGCGATATCAATATCGTGTCGCCGTCGCGCGCCGCCGCGAGCGCGCCATCGAACGTGAATTGCTCGGGCACGCGCAGCGGCCTGCGCCGCGTCGCGAGCAGAGATTTGACCGTGACTGCACCGCCACCGCCGCCGCTGAAGTCATCTAATGCGGCCTCGGTAGCGCGCGAGTATTCGCGACCGCCCCGCACAAGAGAGGCAAGCACGCCGTCCTCCAGAAAAGAGAAGATGGACGCTATGCCCTCGAGCGGCACTGCTTTGCTGATTTGACGGGAGCGAGTGCGCATCGTGGGCGCGCTCGTCGTCGTCTGATCGCGCGAGGAGCGGCGCAACACTAATTTGAGCGGGCCATGGAGGCCTTCGCTCGCCGAATGCCAGAGCTGATCCAGAGCATCGAGTGGGGAGGCGCGCGTTATGGCACCGACCAAAAAGCCCGCCGCGAAGCGTCCGGCCGCAAAGAAGTGCGCCAAGGCGCCCGCCGCGAAGACGAAGAAGTGCGCCAAGGCGCCCAAGAAGAAGAAGCCGGCCGCGAAGAAGATCCAACCGTGGGTAAGGGGTGCGACTGCCTGGTTTGTACGCGCGAGATGATGTTTCTCGAGGCGTGGTGCGGCGAAGGCGACTTCGAGTGGCCGCAAGACGGAGAACCCCTGTTCCCGAACGAGCGTAACTCGTGGGACAAGATGGAGGCGCCGCCGTCCGGCGCGCTCGCGCTCCACGCGGGATGCGAGATCGCGATCGAGATCGGCGACTACAAAACGTTGTCTTACGTGAACACGCTAATGGGCTTGACAGAATTGGTCATCCCGGCGCGACCCGATGGGTACGCGACGCCACGGGATCTTTACGAAGCAGTCCACGCGGCGATGCATGGCCCGATCCCGACGCACGCCGTCGAGACCTTCGGTCGCGTCCGCAAGCACCGGTTATTCAAGGAGGCGGCGGAGGACTTCCTCTCCATATTCCGGGACGCAGACGGCCTGCCGGACACGGACCCGCTGTGGACACAGGAGGAGATCCGCGACATGGACATCTCGAGCTTCTACATGGACATGGGCATGGACGGATTGCGCGTCAAGCAGTGCAACAAGAATCGAGCCACGGTCGAGACGTGGTACTGTTCCTAGAGCCAGTCCCCCGCCGACAACGACCGATAAAATAAATAAACACGGCGGGAAGACGCCCGGCCTCAGACGGACCAGCGCTTCCCGGGCTTCTTGTGGTTCTTGGGCGTCGGGAGCTTGGCCTCGCCGAGGTCGCCGTAGATGTCGGCGAGGTCGGGCTGGTGGCCCGGGCTCAGCGGGTCCGGTAGCGCCGCGAGCGTCTCGTGCTCCTCGGCGTCGGCCACGTCGACGTCCACGGGGTCGACCGCTTCGACGTCCGCGGGCCCCGCGACCTGCGCCTCGGACTCGTCGGCGACGCTCTCGAGGTGGCGCGTGGGCCTAGGGGGCGGGAGGTCTTCCGGCGCGTCGTCCCCGTGCTCCTGCTGCGCGACGCACCCGCAGAAGGCCATGTGGCACGCGGCCTGGGCGTCCGCGTCGTCCGCGACCGGGACGTAGTCCATCTCCTCGGCGGGGACCGGAGGGTTCGTAACAACATCCTTCTTCGGGTCGTGCTCGCAGGGGATGTGCTGGGAGGACTTGGCGTTCTCGAGGCGCGCGACGTGCTCGGGCTCGGCGTCCGGGTCGAAGCTCTCCTTGATCATGAACACGGACGCGCGCACGGACCGCCGCGCGGCGGCGACGCTTTTCCGGGCGCCGTTCCAGTAGTCCTTGACCTGGGCGCGGTACGCGGCGCGCTTGTCCTTGGACGTGAAGTGCCAGCCGACGACGGCGAGGCAGATGAGCGCGAAGAGGCCGCCGAAGACGCCCGTGATGATGGCCGCGTCCGCGTCGTCGGACGAGTTGGACGACGAGCCGTAGGCGACGTCCGTGCAGCGCGGGTCGCAGCTGTAGACGCAGGCCTCCTCGCTCAGCGTGCCGTCGTCCGACTTCTTGCGGTCGTAGCACCGCGAGTCGACGTTGTAGTCGATCCACTCGCAGTCCTTGTGGGGCTTCTTCTTGATGGCCCAGCTCGCCGAGTTCGTGCACATGACCTCCTCCGTGAGGTCGTTGAACTTCCACTCGTCCAGATCCTTCTCGAAGGTCGCGGGCCGCCCGTCCTTCCGCGCGCCCTCCTCGCCGCAGGGCTGCTCCTCGGTGATGTACCACATGTCCGTGGCGTTGACGTAGTAGAGGTAGTAGGCGTCGCTCTGGAAGACGCAGTGGTCCTGGCAGCACGCGTCGTCGACGCGGTAGAAGTTGCCGTACTGGTCGTTGACGCGGAGGCCCGACGGGCAGAGGCGCGCGTGGGAGCAGAAGAAGGTCGGGTGGGCCGTCGGCCGCGCCGTCGCCGTGGGCGCCGCCGTCGTCGGCGCGGCCGTCGTCGGCGCGGCCGTCGTCACGTCGAACGCGTACGTCGCGCCCTCGATGGCCGCCTCCGTCGCGGCCTCCTCGACGGCGGCGGCGTCGAGCACCGCGCTCGGCGACGACGCCGCGGCGTCGTCGAGGGCCGCGGCGTAGGACCCGTCGTCGACGGCCGCGCCGAGGTCGTCGAGGACCGCGGCCGCCGCGTCGGCCGCCGCGGCGTCGTAGTCGGCGCCGTCGTCGACGCTCTCCGCGAGCAGGACGTCGAAGTCGACGGTGGCGCCGTCGGCGTCCTCGAGGCGCCGCCGGCCGCCGTAGGCGACCGCGACGACGTCGACGACGTCGTCCGTCGTCTCCGCGCCGTCGACGACGGCGACGACCGACGCCTTGAAGGCCTCGATCGCGTCCGCGTCCGCGTTGAACGCGTCCGCGTCGACGTCCGACAGCACCACGGACGCGGACACGGCGACGTCGACGACGACCTGGCGCGGCGTCGGCGCGACCGACGGCGCGGGCGTCGGCGCGGGCGTCGGCGCGGGCGTCGGCGCGGGGACCGGCGCGGCCGTCGGCGCCGCGGACGGGCGGGGCGTCGGCGCGGGCGTCGGCGCGGGGATCGGCGCCGCGCTGGGGTCGCCGGGGAGCGGCGTCGGCGCGGGCGTCGGCGCGGGCGTCGGCGCGGGCTCCGGCGCGCCGGTCGGCGCGGGGATCGGCGCCGCGGTCGGGTCGCCCGGGAGCGGCGTCGGCGCGGGCGTGGGAGCGGGGATCGGCGCGGGCGTCGGCGCGGGCTCCGGCGCGCCGGTGGGCGCGGGAATCGGCGCCGCGGTCGGGTCGCCCGGGAGCGGCGTCGGCGCGGGCGTCGGCGCGGGCGTCGGCGCGGGGATCGGCGCCGCGGTGGGGTCGCCCGGGAGCGGCGTCGGCGCGGGCGTCGGCGCGGGGACGGGCGCCGCGGTCGGGTCGCCCGGGAGCGGCGTCGGCGCGGGCGTCGGCGCGGGGATCGGCGCCGCGGTGGGGTCGCCCGGGAGCGGCGTCGGCGCGGGCGTCGGCGCGGGAATCGGCGCCGCGGTGGGGTCGCCCGGGAGCGGCGTCGGCGCGGGCGTCGGGTCCGGGTCCGCCGCCGCGTCGGGCGTGCAGCCCGTGCATGTGGCGACGCAGTCGACCTCGGCGAGGACGCCCGCGTCGTTCTCCTTGGAGGTGCAGCGGCTCGTGTCGTCCGCGACCCAGGCGCAGCCCTTGTCCGGCGACCCGGACTTGTACCAGGACGCGGAGTCGGCGACGCAGGCGACGGGCGACGCCGTCGGCGCGGGCACCGCCGCCCCCGCGACGGGCGCGGCCGTCGGCGCGGGCGCGCCGTCCGACGGCGTGCACCCCGTGCAGGTGACCATGCAGCCGACGTTCGCGAGGACGCCCGCGGCGTCCTCCTTGGAGTCGCAGCGCGATAGGTCCTCCGCGACCCAGGCGCAGCCCCTGTCCGGGCTGCCGTCCTTGTACCAGCTCTCCGAGTCCTCCGTGCAGACGGTCTCCGCGGGCTTCGCCGTCGGGCTCGGCCACCAGCCGGCGTCGCACGACGCCACGACGTCGTCGCTCGTCATCGTCGCGATGTAGCTCAGGGCCCCGGACGTGTAGCAGGGCTCGGACGTCGTCATGTAGTACTGCCCCCCCGCGGAGATGTAGTGGAGGTAGTAGTTCTGCGCGTTGGCGTAGGAGCAGCGCTCCGTGCAGCAGTAGGCGTCGCCCGAGACGTCGCGGATCTTGTAGAAGGTCTGGTAGCCGTCGACGTCAATGAAGTCGCAGCAGTACTTGGTCTTGCCGCAGGCGCCCGCCTCCGCGGAGGGCGTCTGGCTCGGCGCCGCCGTCGTCGGCGCCATGGACAGGCTCGGCCGCGGCGTCGTCGTCGCGTAGATCGTCACCTCCATGTTGCCGTCGACGACGTCGAAGTAGAGGGACGCGTTGCGCGGGCTCCCGGGCGCGCCGAAGTCGACGACGACGTGCTCGGCGTCCTTGAGCATGACGTCGTAGAGGGACACGGTGTCCGGGTGGCCGTCGACGACGACGGTGTTGCCGAACTTGCCCGTCGCGCCGTTGTTCCACCACTTGCTCCAGGTCAGGAGCGCGCCCGCGCCCTGGGTGGACTGGCTCCGGTATTCGACGAAGAGGTAGTAGTCGTCCGTCGCCGTGTCGACCTCCAGCCCCAGGTAGTTGACGCCGTCGTCGCTGCCGTCGTCGATGGGCTGGAGCACGTAGGGCCCGCACATGGGCACGCAGAGCGCCTCGCCCGTGGTCTCGTCGAAGGGCTCGACGAAGGGCACGCGGTCGTTGGCGATCCAGTCGAAGATGAGCTTGCCCTCGAGCGTGAAGTGGTTCGTGACGCCGTACTCCTCGCCGTAGTCCGCGCCGCGGTCGACGCGGCCCGAGCCCATGGGCGTGAAGAGGTTGCCGTACTCGACCCAGCCGTCGTCGTCGGTCCACGCGACGCGGCCCTCGCGGTCCTTCGTGTCGCTGTAGGAGCCGTGGTTCGCGCCGAAGGTGTGGCCGAGCTCGTGGATGTACGACGGGTCGTAGTCCGTCGCAGCGAGGTTGAGGAACGCGCCGGGCTGCGACACGTAGCCCGTGCCCGCGGCGCCGTTCGCCTGGCAGTAGGGGATGACGACGAGCTGCCAGTCGTAGAGCTCGCGGTCGTAGCCGCCGTCCAAGGACGCGTAGGCCGCCATCACGTCGAAGGCCTCGGGGTCGCCGTCGTAGTTGCCGCCGTACCAGTCGAGCTCGTCGTGCTGATCGCACGTCGACGACTGGTAGTCGACCTGGTAGACGGGCGTGATCGTGACGTCGAGCGTGAAGTTGGAGAAGGAGTTGGCGTCGTAAAAGTCCTGGGCGAGGGCCGCGACCTCGGAGAGGTAGGAAGACACGTCGCCGCCGTGGTCCGACCTGCGTGGAACTCAAATCTTCAACTCGACTTCAATGTGCGCGTAATCGAACGGTTTGGACCGGACTCCTCCGCTTCGAGAACTTGAAGAGAGCAATCGATTCGTCCAAAAATCAGCCGAATCGACTTCGAATTGACCGAGCTAGAGAATGTCAAAGTTTGGTCGGGACGTCCCAAACCAGCGGTCGATATCCACGCAGGGTCCGACGCGATGAGCTCGTAGTTGTAGACCTCGTCGCAGTCGCTCGCGTCCGCGGGGCAGATGGGCACGATGAGGAGCGTCTTCGTGTTGAGCAGCTTCTTGTTCTCCTTGTCCGTCACGGCCGTGCGGGCGACGGCGTGCCTCGGCGTCGCGGCGAGCCGGGCCAGCGCGCGGTCGCCGACGGCGCCGGCCGCGCGCGCGAGGTTGTCGTTCGCGGCCGCGGCGTGCGCCGCGTCGGCGAAGCGGACGCCGCGCTCGGCGCCGCCGTCGCAGGCCACGGCGCCGGCCGCGTCGACGCAGCGGATCGCGTCGCCGGAGGCGTAGAACGTGCCGTCGAGCACGGACCCGGCGAGGTACGCGCGCGCGCTCGGCCCGCGCGGCGCGCCCGCGTAGGCCGCGCGGATCGTGGCGCCGCCGGGCGTCTCCAGGTGGGCGCGCACCTCGTAGGTCGGCCTCGCGCGGGGGTTGGAGCCCCGGTCCCGCGGCGTCTTCGCCTCGACGGTCACGGCGCCGACGCCCACGAACGGCGCGTCGCGGCGGCAGTCCGCGGGCAGCTCCCGCAGGCGCCGCGACCGCGCCGGGTGGGTCCCCGCCGCGTCGGCGAGGGCGAAGCTCAGCGCGGCGGCGTGGGCGTAGCTCCCGGCCGCCGCGAGGCGCCGGAGCTCGACGAGCCGCGCCGCGCAGGCCGCGGCCTCGGCGTCGGGGCTGCGCGACGGCGCTTCGAGGAGCGCCACGACGGCGTCGTGGGCGGCCGAGGCGTTCCCGGGCAGGGGCGCCGACGATGCCGCGGCGGCCGCGGTGGCCAGGGCGAGCGACAGCGCGAGCATCTTCCGCGGCTGCATTCTATTGGCGGGCAGCCAGTTCGGGCGAAACTCGTGCGAAATAGATCAAGGGGATCTTCAAGTATCTAGAAGATCCCCTTGAATATAATATGCGAAATAAGAGCGCGGGGCAACTTTCCGTCACGCTTGGCCCGGCCACCTCAGCTCAGCCCATGCGATGACCGCAGCAGCCATGACCGCCGCTCGCATCCTTCTCCTCTGCGGCGCCGCCACCGCATTGCTGGCAGCGCCCCGCGCGCCCCCTCTGCGCGCGACGCGCACGACTCCCGGCGCGAGCGTCGTCGGCCTCTACGGCGACTGGGAGTCGGCCGAGGGCGGGTCCTACCTCCTGGAGCCGCCGGAGGGCGAGGCCAAGGGCGTCGTGCACTTCGTCGGCGGCGCGTTCATCGGCGCGGCGAGCCAGCTCACGTACCGCTACCTGCTCGAGCGCTTCGCCGGCAGCGGCTACCTCGTCGTGGCGACGCCCTTCCGCCTGTCCTTCGACTACCTCAGCGTCTGCGACGCCGTCGAGGCGTCCTACGAGGCCGCGGCGGCGGAGGCGCGGCGCCGGGGCTACGGCGACGCGCTCTTCGACGACGTCGTGGGCGTGGGCCACAGCTGCGGCGCGCTGCTCCAGGCGCTGATCGCGACGCGGCGGCCCGGCGAGCGGCGGCGCCTCGCGCTCGTGAGCTACAACAACAAGGGCGCGGCGTCCGCGATCCCGAACTTCGAGGACCTCGTGACGCCCATCGCCGTGGAGCTCGCCGGCGACGACCGGTCGCCCCTGACGCCCCTGCTCCGCCAGGCCGTGGGCACGCTCCGCGGCGCGGCCGAGGAGGCGCTCGACGCCGCGGAGGCCGAGGACGCGGCGAACCCGTTCATGCGGCTGCGCGCGGCGGCGCCGCCGGGCCTGCGGACCTTCGGGGACGCCTTCGTCGCCGAGGCGGGCGCCGTCGCGCGCCAGGGCCTCGAGGTCGCGGACCAGCTGCCGGACCTGCTCGGGGAGATCGCCGCGGGCGCGCGCGAGTTCGACCCGACGCCCCGGGAGACGCGCGAGCTGTTGCGCGACGCCTTCCGCGCCGACGACGTGCTCGTGCTCCAGTTCGACGACGACGACATCGACGAGTCCGACGAGATCTACGCGGTGCTGCGCGACGCCGCGGAACAGAAGCGCAAGACCGCGGACGCCGTCGACCTCGTCGCGGCGCCGGGCGGCGCCTGGGCGGCGAGCGAGGACCTGCCGGGGGGCGCGCCGCGGGCCGGCGCGGCGGCGGCGCGGCCCTCGACGGCGCCGCTCGCCGTGCGGCTGGCGCGCGTCAAGGGCACGCACCTCACGCCGCTGACGCAGGACATCTTCCTCCCGGCGTCCAAGGTCGCGGACTACGCCGCGACGGCGACGGCCGTCGACCCCCTCATCGCCGCGCCCCGCGGCACCTTCCTCCGCCAGGTCGACGACGCCTTCGCCGAGCTCGACGCGTGGCTCGCCGGGACCGAGGCCGCCAAGTAGGGGCCTAACGGGGCCGTCGGCCGGGGGCACCGCCCAGGTTCTTCGTTCGTAGTTACGCGGTCGCGCGCGCTGTTCGGCGCGCTGTCCGCGCGCGGTCCCGCAGTTCGCGTTGCGCTGTTCGCGCGCGGTCCCGCAGTTCGCGTCGCGCCGACGTTGCGCTGTTCGCGCGGTGGCGACTTCACCACTTGAGCTTGCCCGGCATGTACTTGTCGATGAGGCCCTGGTAGTAGGGCCAGAGCTTCTCCACGTCGATGACGTTGTCCTCGTCCTTGGTGTAGAGGTCGAAGGTGTTGAACTCGAGGACCCACTTGAGGGCCTCGTGGTCCTCGGGCTTCATGAGGTGGTCGTAGATGCGGCCCGTGTGCCAGGGGTACGCGCTGTGGTAGCGGATCATGTCGAAGCCCGCCTTGGGGAGCTTGACGCCGTTGGCCGTGCACATCTGGTAGAGGTACTCGTCGTGGCCGTAGGCGAACAGCAGGTTGTCGATGCCGCAGCCCGGCTCGTACATGCCGCACGGCGTGTTGAGCGCCGGGTCGCGCGCGTCCGGGTTCAGCGACGAGAACTGCGGGTAGACGACGCCCGGCCGCGCGTCGCCCGACGGCAGCGCGCAGCCGACGACCCAGGTGTCGCCGCCCAGGGCCCACTGGGGCCCGTCGGCCGTGCCGACCTGGCCGTCCTCGGCGCAGCCCCAGAGGTACATGATCTTGCCCATGTCGTGGACGAGGCCGACGAGCTGGAACCAGTCCGGGTGGCCCGCGGCGCGGATGGCCTCCGCCGTCTGGAGCATGTGGACGATGTTCGGCAGGCCCACGTCCGGGTCCGACGAGTCGACGTAGTTCTCCAGCACGCGGAAGCACTCCTGGACCGTCATGCGGCACCGCGCCTTGCCCTCGGAGAAGTCGTACTTGGCGTGCATCTTTTTCACAAAGGCCACGGTCTGGTGCGTCCGCATGTCGCGGTAGTGGCGCTCGACGGTCTCCTTGCGCTCGTGCTCCGCGTCGTAGTCGCGGAAGTCCTTGGTCTCCTTGCACTGGCCGTCGAGCTTCTTCGCGGCCGGCGGCGCCGTGACCGCGGCGACCTCGCCGGGCGCGCCCGTCGCGCCGCCCTCGCGCCACTGCCGGTACTGCTTGCGGTACTCGTCGACCTTCGACCGCAGCACGTCGGGGTCCAGGAGGTGGGGCGCCCGGCACTGGGGGCAGGACGCGAGGTCGTGGGCCGCGCACTGCTTGAGGCAGGCGCCGCAGAAGGCGTGCCCGCAACGGAGCCGCACCTGGGACCGGGAGTCCAGGAGGCAGATGGAGCAGGGCAGGTCCGTCGTCTCCTCGAGGGTCGCGCGGCCGTCCGTGCCGATCAATAATGACGCCATATCGCTTGCTGTAATCTCGCAGTCTTGGTTCTGGGGCTGTCGCTGATGCACGGATGCGAATGTCGGCTCAGAATCCGGGCACGCGACGCACGCCTCGCACGAACGCGTCGCGCGAGAAGCCCTCGCGCCGCAATGTTGCATCAAGATATTTCATTGAATGGTGCCGTGCCGCGATCGATCGAGGTCTGGTTCCCGCGGCCTCGACGCTCGCGCGCCGTCTCCGCGACGATGGCCCGGGGCAAGCGCGGACGTGGCGGGAAGAAGCGATGCGAATTAGGGGCCGCGTGCCCCTACAAACACGAGCACCAGCACCTCGGCGAGTACTACCACGACGACGACCCCGCTCCCGCCCCGGCGCGCGGCGGCGGGCGCGGCGGCGGCGGGCGCGGGGTCGTCGTCGTGGTAGTACTCGCCGAGGTGCTGGTGCTCGTGTTTGTAGGGGCACGCGGCCCCTAATTCGCATCGCTTCTTCGCGCCTCGTCCGCGCTTGCCCCGGGCCATCGTCGCAGGGACGGCGCGACGAGCGTCGAGGCCGCGGGAACCAGACCTCGATCGATCGCGGCACGGCACCATTCAATGAAATATCTTGATGCAACATTGCGGCGCGAGGGCTTCTCGCGCGACGCGTTCGTGCGAGGCGTGCGTCGCGTGCCCGGATTCTGAGCC